TAGCTTAATCAAAATAACCTGAAGATTTTCACATGTAGAAGTTACTTCTAGAGCAGTGAATCTGCAAGCGTACAAGCCAAAAACCTCAACTTAATTTTACACCTAAGCGAATAATAAGTTCACAGCCAATTCTACACTTTCACAAATATTAAGGTGGATGGTTTCCTACGGTTAATCTTGGTTACCCAGAAGCATTTATTTGAATTTCTATTAAGAGAAAAACATAGTTTTAAATTTAGGTAGTATAAAGTAAGCTTCGTATTCACAAGTGGTGGATCTTATTAAGATGTGATTATAGTATTTAAGATTACGGTGATTCTGTCAATGCCTAAAACAATTACTTTTATTTACTTCTTAATTTCAATAAGTTGTGATATGGAAGTAAGCAATATGCAAAGCGATGGAAAGAAAATTCCATGCATTTTAATAAATTTAGACAAAAGATGTAGCTTCTGAAATTTTTGATAAGTATTTCCTAGCAAAGATTGTCAACAAAGGAGTAATCCATGTAATGTCACAGAGCTGAGGACCTATCAGAAGTTTCAAAAGCAATTTTAAGAATGAAGACCTTAAACCCTTTTGATTATGTAATCTCTGCTTTCGAAAATTCCATATGTATGCTCCAAATGCCTTGACTTACATGTAATGGATCCATTTTCTGTTTTATGGCCAAGGATTTCGGTCCGGGAACAGCGGTTTTCATCGATGGCCCAGCAGGCTCTTGTGAGGTAATGCTCGACACACATCGTACTGCTATAAGGTAGGTGTGTTAGAAAGTCGAATCTGGTAAAGCTATTGTTACATTTTATAAAGTAAGCCAGTCTTTGAATTTCCTGCGCTGAAAGGAAAAGCTAAAGGGAAGTTAGATCGCCAAATTTCCAATGTACAGGGCTTATATGTTGGAGCTACCCTTTAGGTTTTCTCTTCACAGTATGTGATATCCAAGTAAATAAAGAAACTATGCAAGCGTTCATCCATTGGAGATTCTATAGTTTTATTATGAGGTAAGTTTTAAGATCTGCTTTCTTCCATTCTGTCATATTATACAAAAATCGTAAAACAAATTCGTACCGCGAAAAGTTTCATAAAGGATAGGCATCTCTAAACTTTGCTTGTTCATTATTGAGTATATCATTCCATAGGGCTTGCATCAATGAAATTCCTTTATTTTCATGATCGGAGCAATTGAGTAAAGATAAATTTAACTGTAGATTTCAGATATATACTGTAAAGCGAAAACTGAGTCCTGTTTAATTTTTACTCATGCCTTGAATTTTTAGACCATATTCACATTTCCATAAGCAGTCCCTTTAGCATAGAAAGACGCTTTACAAATACATCACCCGCAAATTTGCTAGTAGCAAAACGAAC